ATTACAATACTTATCATACTTTCAACGGTAGCCTGCCACCACCCAGACTTTTATTAGAATATAACATGTTTTAGTGAACTGTTAGGTAGCGTGTTAGCGAGTTTCTAAGCACGTGAGTTACAAAGTTATTTTCTGAGAACCAAAGGAATAGAGTGGTGATACTCATAGTTTACTAATTTAATATTTATTAACATAAGGAGTGAATAAGATGTTAATTAAGTTCACTCGGACCAGACTGGACCACTTAAGTCTTACTTTACAAGTAACAAATTCAATCTTCAATTCTTATTACATCATTAAACTACTGTTGTATTATTTCTTTGACAAATAAGCTGGTTACTTTACATGTTCAGATAGGACTGGACCCTCAGGTCTTTTTTTTATCCTCTTCGCCACTGATTGGCTCGTTAGCCACTTGGGCGATCGGTCACGTCTCTGATTACTTTTCCTTTTCATTTATCCTCTTCTCCAAAAGATCGGCTCGCTAGCTGCCCGGGCGATCGGTCACGTCTCTGTCACGCAATGTTGGCAAGTACTGGGCATGCACCGGCTCCTGAATGTACCTGAACCCGCTCCAGTGTTGGTCAAGTCTTGTCTCGAAAGAGCTCACACTCTGTGCCGTCACAACACTGGTAGATTGTTCCAAGAGTTTACAACCCTCACTCCAAAAAAGTTTGCCCTCACAGTTTTCTGGACTTGCGGCTTCTTCAATCTTGAGATGTGACCCCTTGTGGGGCGAGCGTCCGCCGGCTCCAAGTAAGGACACTCGACTGAGTAGTGCCCCCTGAGATGCTTATACACCTCAACTGTGTCACCCCTTGCCCGTCTGTAGTATCAGCTAGGCAAGTTCAGGCGCTCCAGTCTCTCAGGGGACCTGAGGTGCCGAAGTGCAGGCACCAGTCTGGTGGCCCTCCTTTGAACATTTTCAACCACCTGACAGTCCCTAGCATATCTCGGGGACCAGACGGGGTGACAGTACTCCAGATGGGGAAGCACTTCACTCCTGAAGATCGTTACGCGGGACGGACCGTCTAGATATCTAAACGACCTTCTTATAAGACCCAATAATTTATTTGCCTGATTTACCTTCTTCTCGCAATGGCCTGAGAACTTCAGCCCATTGTCAACTTACACACCTAGTTCCTTCTCACATTCAGTCTCAACTAGTGCAGTTTTTTCATCCCGTTGGGACATATGATACGCCTCTTTACCATTGGTACGCCCCAGGTGCATCCTCTTACACTTCGTGACATTGAATCTCAGCAGCCATTTCTTCGACCATTCCTGGAGCCCACAGAGTTCCTTCTGCAGCTCTTCACAGTCTGCTTAGTTCTTAATTTCCTGAAATAACTTGGCGTCATCGGCAAACATTTGTATGGAAGAGTGTACAACGTCAGGCATGCCATTTATGAAACAAACAAACAACAGCGGGCCCAATACACTGCCCTGTGGTACCCCATTTGTGACAGGTATGGATGACGATTTCGTGCCATTAATCATCACACACTGCTTGCTTACTTTACAAGTAACAAATTAAGTCTTCAATTCTGGGTTACAACATTAAACAAACATTATATTATTTCATTGCCAATACAGATGGTTATATGACACACTTGACAATATCCCAAATTAACTTATAACATCATGTTCTTTCGGCATGAATAACATGGCACTTTTCCGTCAGTTGATGTACTCAACTCCCGTACATATTTACTGATACTATCAATTGTTATGGGTTCACTACTCAACCTGGGATAACTAAATTTCTGCTAGTTAATCCCAATCATAGATACAATAATACTTTGGCCCATATAACTGTAAGGAGTGCCCCAGGGTGTCACAACAAACGAAGAACGCTGTTAAGGTCGGTTATATTAGTCCGACACACGGTGGGGGAGTTCGGGCCTAGGATGCGAACTCGCACAGTTTAATCCTGCCGAATTAACGACATCATCCAATACAGCCAGCTGCTATGCAGCTACCGATCCCCGGTAGCTGCTGGGAATACAGCTAACACACACACACTGTGCCCGAGATAATGGTGGAGAAGCGTCAGAGAAGTCAATAATAACTCAATCACAAACAATCTTTTGTCTAGCAACGACAGACAACATTTATGTTATATTAATTCTTTCACTGGGTAAATGACAATTCCAATGTTACAACATGAACACTGATATTCACAAAATTCACTGAGTTAAACTGACTCAATATGGCGGGCGGATAATCGTACACATACCTGAGATAATGGTGGAGAAGCGTCAGAGAATGTGGCGCTCTCCCGTGCACGAGCTTATATATGGCTAACTGGCAACTCAGGCCTGTGCAGAACACATGCCAGAAAGGCCAGTCACGCAATGACAGAAATTACATTCAACTCAATCACTGTACATTTAATTATGACACCCAATTGCCACCTGTCCTGCGAATTTCCTACATCTATTCATATAATCTAATCAGAGATTGAGCTTGCCAGGAAAAAGTGGAATTACACACGTTGATAACATTAATTTTACAAACTCAGCGCGGCTGCGAACAAGAAGCCTCTATGGATATACGTTGAAATCTTGGAGATAAGGCGTTTGACATGTTCTTCTTGGGAGATTAATGACTTTCTTAAATAGACAACTGACAATAATCAAACTGCAAATATCAGATTCTCTGATGTTTGGGCATCAAAATAATCTAACTAAAGTAGCACTTGGAACTCATGGCTATCCCCAAGGGACAATATCATGAGATGCCATTCGTACCCGCAGATTCGACTCTCACTTACTTGATAAGTGTTACTAACAACAAACTCAGTTGAAGCTTTCAACATCACTCTCAAAGGATCTTGAATGCTTTGACTGTAATAAAACATATTTAAGTTGACTCAAAACAATGGTGTTCTCTCTCATATTCAAATTCACTTTATAGAGAGGTTGGTTTCAGGAAGTCAGAGAAAATGGGAAAACAGAGGACTCAAGCGTCTTGAAGCGATGAGACAACGGACTCCTCAGATGGGGGACTCAAAGGAAGGCAGAGCTACATGTTTTGTGGGCTATTGAGCGCAATATGAATAGTCTGATTTTACGTTAACTGATGTGTATGACCATGGTCATTACATCACCACTCTGTATACTGATATGCATATGGGAGTAATGTCATGGTCACGTTGACTGCTGATCTATTTAACTAATGATTCTTATTAAGCTCCACGCCCGCAAAACATGAGTGAGTTAGCGACCCCTGAGAAGACGTGTTTTTTCCCCATAGACGCTACACTTGTGATCCCTCCCAGAGTCCCGCCTTTGTGAAGACAGTTATCAATGCGTTGTTATTCCACTTGCTCCTGGGAAGCTCAATCTTGAATTAGTCTGTGTAAATCAACTCAAGTAATTCGCCAGACCTTTGTCAACTGAGGGTCATCTTTGAATGAGTAACAGTTAGTTTGTAATTATTGTCATTGCGGGAGTAGCGATCACTGGCAACTCAGGGGTATATATACCCCAAGATGAGCCAGGGAGAGTGCTCCTTGACGCTGCTCCAATGCTTCTCCAGGTATGTTTTTGTGTAGCCATTCAGTTAATTCAGTCAATTGTAGTGAATATCAGTGTTCACCAGTGTTCATGATTTAACAGTTGAATTGTCATTCACCCAGTGTAGAAGTAATATAACGTAAATACGTCTGTCGTCTAGACAAGAGAGTTTGTTTGTGTTGTCATGTTTCCCAGCTCCCTGACGCTGCTTCAATGTTTCTCCAGATCCCATTGTAATTCTTGCAACCATTCAACAACGGCCTCGGATGTAGTAGATGACCAACAGGGATCATATACGAAACGATGGCACCGATGCGGCCTGATTAATGTGCCCCACGGCTTCGTTGGGCCAGACCCGCCATGTGTCTGGCTACCCCACAATAACAACAGTCGTGAGCCCTAGTGCTCTACCCTGGGTTGCTCCTTGGAAGTGTATGTCCACAGAGAGGGTTGTGACATGTATGTTAGGGATAATTAGATGGAAATAATTATCCCATGTTGGGTAGTGGACCCCTGTATATGCTAGTTTAATTATTTACGAGTATGTTGAGTAAGTACTGAGTCTGCAATAAGCCCAGGAGGTGAGCCTGATAGTTATATGATAAATACAATATCTTTCCACATTGATTGCATATTAATAAACTTGTTTTTAGAGTACTTTAGGTGTATTCCTTTCTCCCACAGTATTTTACCTTTATTTCCATCCAAGTGACTTGATACCAGAATTACCATACCCATGTGCCTAGACCCTCGACCATGCTACCAAAAGAATGTCCATGCTACCAAAAGAATAGGTGACGGAACTGAGTAAGAGTAAGACTAAGAGAAGTAAGTAAGATGAGGGTGGTGTAGATATAGGGGGAACCCGCGCCCTCACAGTAAGGATGAAGATGGGATCCTAATTCCTTGTAGAGGCCTTCGTATTGTGTGGTTTCGAGATGTTGGTTCACACTCAGGATGGGCTGGAGAAAGGAAACTCACAATGCGCTCTCTGTATATATATTGTATTGGATGTACAGTGCAGCTTGGTGCTGGGAAGCTGCTGCGTGGGTTTAGGAGCTTGCTGGTTCGGGAGCGTGGAGTAGAGAGAGCTGGTTGGTGAGGAGCTTGCTCGGAGGAGGTGTTGCGTGCTGCTGGGCGCGCTGATCTCGTTGACGAGACCAGAGGAAAGTGAAAGTGTAGCCGCGGAGTTGTGTGCGGATGCATGGCGCACAGCAGTGTATTCATGGAATACCCTGTCTGCCGTGGCTGCGTAGGTCGACGAGGTAGTAGAATAGTCCAATACTAATTGGACAAGACGAACTTCTGCAGGGAGCTTCTGAGTGTGAAGCTGGCACAGGATAGTGTCAGGATGCCTGTCTGTGTGGCGGGAGTTCCGTCTACGCATCTCGTCCCAGAGACATGCAGGCGTGTTGTTGCCGAGAGAGAGACAGGATAATTCTTGTAGGAGAGTGGTGTGAGGCCACTGGTATCGCGTCTTCAGAGCATCCCGTTGGGCAGCGGATTTGTTGTCAGCTGGAGGGTTGGTGATGATCTCTGATACTTGCGTGGCGACTTCTGTGGGTAGGGACGTACTTTTGTTTGTCTGTAGCTGTAGAACAGATGAGAGCTGCCTCCGTGTGGATAAGCCAGTCTTCAATGTTGTGATTGAAGACTGGGAGAGTAATCAGTTTCTCCTCCATCCTGTGTGAGTGCGATTCTCCGGGGGTCACCATTTGTGGGGTTATGAGATATTGGTTCACACCCAGGATGGGTTAGAGAAAGGAAACTCACAGTGCGCTCTCTGTATACATATTGTATTGGATGTACAGTGCAGCTTGGTGCTGGGAAGTTGCAGCGTGGTTACAAGCATGGAGTAGAGAGCTGGTTGGTGAGGAGCTTGCTCGGAGGTGTTGTGTGCTGCGTGGCTGTAGGTAGAAGAAGGCAGGTCACGGCGAGGTAAGGTCTTATATAGCGGAGGTAGGCGTGGCTTGATAGCTGACCTCCGCTTTGTCAGACGTCGCTAGAAGCCGACCTTAGACCACGAGGGGTTGGCTGGGAAACTCGAAAAGGGATCGGCTAGTCAGCGACAAACGGCAGTTGTAGTTGTAGGGGAAATTTCCACTACAGTATCACGTAAAGAACCACAGTTTATTTCACCTGATGATTAAAAACCCTAGCCCTACCTTGGTGTTAGGTTAGGTTAAATTAGGTTAGCTTTATGGTGGTTAATTTTACGAAAAAATAAGCTGGGTCTGATCTTTACGTCTTCCAGGTCTTCAGTTAACATTAGTTTATTCTACACTCACCAGAGGCCTATAATTAGTACAGGTATATCTTTGTAGACCAACTCCTTATAAATAAGAATGTCGTGTAGCTGAAATTAGAAGAAAAAACATGGCATGTAAAAATTGAAGTTTAATGCAGTGGAAATGACGTATATTATTATTATTTTGGTTTAGCTATTTTTATCTCACCCTTTCTTTGTATTTTTTGTTTTTTACTGTAATTACTTTCTTTCGTTCTGGGGAAGGAGAAGTTGGAGATAATGAGGGGTGTTGGAGGAGGCGAGGGATAATGGCTACCGATGATGATTTTACTCAGCAAGAAAATTAATTTAGTCTCTTTGGTACAAGAGAGTATATTAACAATTGAAACAACAGCTTCACACAGAAACCTAACCTGATATTAACCTAGAACTAATTCAAATTAACTATGGCTCTGATTGACGTACAGCAAAAAAAAAAAAAACCAATTTTGTTTTAAACTTCACTAAATATTACGAACTTACTTGTCCATCCCAACCAGTAGGCTTAGCAATACCACCCCCGGAGCCTAATATGGGTTGTTTCCCTCCCTCATTTGAGTAGCTCACCTTGTCTGTATGTCTAGCACACTTGGTGGTGTTGTGTTAGGGGGGGTGGGGGGTTGACGGAACCTGCCTGAGATAATGGTAGTAGTACTTGCTGTTCTCCTGATGACACCAGTAAGCGAGGTCCATCCTTAGTTCCCTGACGACTCTTCATTTGAGGCAACTTTAAACATTGTCAAGTTCCCACCTATTAGAGCAGCCAACCACGGCAGTTAGACATAATTAAAGAGGAGCATTATCCAAAAAGTGCAAAAAACGACAACAAATTAAAAGTTTCTCCAGGAGTTAGTGTGATGGTGATCATCTGCGGTGTCCAAAAGTAGCGCACTGCGTCATTGTCTTAACGGACGTGCGGTGCGTGTCAAGCTGGCGGGTCGGGTTGATGATAATCATCTATTATGGAGGGTAGATATACTCTAGAACAGATCTTACTGGTATAGTGGGCAGTTCAGTCGGTATGGCAGTTATAATCATTCTGTAAATCGTGTGAGTCACGGGAAAGTTTATGAAGTTTTTCATTGTTGTACAGTTATAGGTATATTTTGGGGGTACAAGTTCTCAAAGGATCTTATGAGTAATCCTGGTTACTAAACATATTAGAATGCATCTAACTGATAAATGAGTAAAAGGAAAAATAAATATGTAAACAAAAATACATCAAAATCATCCCAAGACTTTAAATTGATTGGATACATTCACTTGTTACCAGTCAGGAGACAATTATAAATTTTTCTAAAGACTTTCAGCCTTGATTTCATCAGGTACAAAGTTATTATTATTTATTTATTTATTTACTTGCTTTAATTTAAGTCAGTCAAGTAGGTGCATTCTTGCATCTTCATTACGAGAAAATAATATTCATCGTACGAATTGTGAAAATTTTGGGCCTATCATACAAAGGATAAAGTTTATCCTTTGTTTATCCGATAAACCATTATATTATCATTTAACATCCCACATAAACTGTTGTACAGAGCGATGTATCATCGTGTACATCACATGGAGCTTTCATGAAGGACTGTTCTTTACTGATAAAAAACAAACCTAATATTATCAGGAGTCGAGAGAGCTTCTGTATCATAATAAATTCTGGTCTGGTTCCTTGCCTTCGGTCGCTGCGCTAGATGAACTCACCTATCGAGGGCAGGGAACCGCACAAAATAATTTTCCACTTGGATAATTCTATTTCTTATTGACGAAACGTTGATTCTAATTTCATTAGTAAAAATATATTACTTACAAGATACGTTATGAATATCCATTAGCTAAGCCCCTCTAAAAGACAAGAAAAAGAAGGAGGAAGAGCACGAGGAAAATAAGGACACTGCCCCACCCCCACCAGGCTAAGGGGTGCTCAGTGGTCCACGCTTATATCGCTTGATATTCAGGAAAGCTAAAGTTTTGTAAACCGCATCAGCACTGGCTGGGGATTATGTATGCCATCCAATCAAAGTTCTTCTTTTAAGGAGTTGTGGATAGATGATCAGGGTGACGAAGAGATGATGAATATCGTATCTTTTGCTATGTTCTCTTCGTTAAATCATTTCATTAAAGAATAACGGGACGGGAGTAGATGCAATGGCTTACGATGCTCACAGTCCAGAAGTTTCATTGTTACCAAAGCGATTTTTCTCCTTTAATCAGCATTTTCCTTTTTACAATGGTGACAAAAGAGTTAGCAGGGTCTGAAAAAAAATAGTCCTGGTTTTATAGAATACAAAGTAAGCTTGACATGAAAATACGAACAGAAGTATAAGGTAGGTAAATGCTCTCTCTGCTGTAGGTGGGTAATAATTAGCCTGATATTATATTTACACCCGAAGGCAGCATAGATTTGATGGTGGAAAATCAATAAACTAGGCGATGCGCTGTATACCTGCGGGACCACACGGCTCAATCATGAACCCAGGAGTCACTTTGTTTTATTAGAAAGGCAGACATCCTGTACCTGAACAGTTATTTAACACCAAACTATTTTTCAGTAAATTTTACAATTCATAAAGTTTACTCTCCATAGTATTAACTGGTCATAAAAACTCTCCCAGTGCGCAATTTTGTGCACTACATTTGGTATGGCGATCAGCGCCGGTCAGGGATTAGCAGCACAGTCATAACTACAGTATGTGCTTTTTGTTTTCCTTCATGGCCATATTTAGTTCTCTAATCCTTATACAATACATATTATATATATTACATACACACATGCGTGTATAATTACTCTGAGAAGTCTATTTTATGTAAAAATAAAATGTCCACTCAAAACGTGGAACTGTTTAGCAATCATAGTTGTGTGTTACAGTATTTTATGTGCTTGGCAATTTCGGATAGCTGTACTGTTACACTACTTTAATATTACCTTGCTTACAGCCGTAATTAAATGCATCTGTTACTCATTGTGTGAGAAGTCAACCCATCGGAAAAGAAAAATATACGATGTGACCCTCAGGTTGGTGACAGTTCCTCACATTTCGGACTTTTGCATTTTTCGTACTGGGGTCTGCCCCAATTAGTTCGATTTATCGAGGTTCTACTTTATATTTTTTTTACATTTTTATTATGTGTATACAGTTGATATAAAGTACAGGTAATCTGATAAGTGAGGGGAGTAATACATCATGAGTTGTGTGAAGGTGAAACAAGGGGACAGACACAGTGAGCAAATATATAATTATTGCAAGGGTAATTTCTATATGTGACAATATATGATATAATGTTTTTGGTGGTACAGTAAAGATAGGAGTATAAAGTAAGTGCTAGACGATAGAGATTTTTTAAGAGATTTAAAGGAAGGGACTCGGTCTGGGACTGAGAGAAGTAGGTCTGGGCGTCTTAAAGTTGTAGTCACTCAAAAAAGTCCTGTCGCCTCTCATCCTGAACCACGAACCCAGAGATTCAGACTCGTTAATCCAAAGCAGTAGACACTGATGCATTATTCTGTCCATAAATGCTTAGGATTTAAGAGTCTGAATCTCGGGGTTCATTGTTCAGGATGTTTGGCGACAGGACTCTTTTGGGTGACTGTACCTTTGGCAGAATGAATTTGCAAGTTTACCCTCCATTCTGCAAGTTTAGAATGAAAGAAGTTTTGGAGTAAATATTGTGTACAGGGAGTCTCCAGGTTACGAACGTCCGACTTATGAACATCCACCGATATGAAGTTAAATTTCAAATTTACAATATTTTATTTTCCCGAAAACATATTTTTTTTTTACCTTTTTACTGTATATTGTCATTCTATTTCTTCTTTTCTCTTAAAGGGAAGTGATTTTAGATGTATATAAGGACTTAGGCAATGAGGCTATTGTAACAATGCCATATTTTATGGAGTAAATTGTGTCATGTTTTAGAGGAAATATAAGAAAATCCTGCTTAGACAGGGATTGCCCACCATAATGCTTATACGATAGTGTTCCCGCCGAAACCAAGAGTGCCTGATGAGAAGCCTGAGGTATGAACCAATCACAGTGACCTGTGAGTGTAACTGTGCTGATTGGCTGGAAGCTGAGTTCGTGCCCCAACAAGAGGACACTCGGTTTTTAAACAGTCTGGTTAGTGGTGGTTAAGTGTAGTCGGAATAAATTGCGATTCATGTGACCCCTGTTTAACTAGCTAGGAAAATAGGTTTATTGTTTTGAAAGTGCACTGTCTATTCTGAATAACTTCGTTAATAAACAAAGAACCGTTATGGTTAAGGTTAATTAAGATTGATCTAAATTCAAAATCATCTTGCAGGTGGTTGGTGTACAAGACAGATGTACCAGACACAAAAGCGGGGCAGCCAGATGACCACAGTAACTGTTCTCATTACTGTCTAGCATCCCACAGCCCACACCTTGATGACCACCACCGTACTAATAAAGCACATAATTGGTAAAAGTAAAATGTAATGTAAAAGTTTAAGCACTATTGAGACTTTTTTATATATAATTGAGATTTTAGAAAACTGTACAGTATAAGTAAGCCCCAAGTCAAGCCTTAAAGGATTTAAAATATGTAGATATATTATTTATAACATTATAAAATATCTAAAATATCTTGGAAGCCACAATATTGTAATGGTTGCAAAAAAGTAAATTCTATATACACCATATCCTCATTAATTCAACAAAGAAGTGGACTCTGGGTCACTCAAATTAACCAAAAAAATGAATTTAATGAGTTTTGAATATTTTGATTTTATTTGACATATTTCCTGAATTTTGTGTTCGATTATTCAATTGTTTTCTGATCAATATTTGCATCTTGCCATTCCTTGGATGCCGCATAAAATAATCTATTCTTAATTACTGTGCAAATATATATTTTTAAAATTTGCATACTGTACAGTAATAATAAATTAATACTGTACTAATACTGTAAAAAAATAAATACCTGTACAATAAATATAGCATCTTACTAGGTGAGGTGATGAGGCAAGAGGTGATGTGACGAGGCACTTACACAGCACACACATTAACAGCACTACTAAACTATTGTCTTATTACATTGTAATTTCTAATTTCGAT